GGGGGGGGGGGGGGGGGGGGGGGGGGGGGGGGGGCAACCTACACTACACAACACTCTACATGTGCATGTACACAGCCCAAGAAGCATCCAAAAGAATGTAGAGTGTTCTGTAGTTGAGCAAGGCCGAGGGGTGAATCGGGCCGGTACTTCCCGCCCCCAACGTTCAAAAGCACGGCCCATCCGGGCCAGTTCGGCCGCCCTTTTGAAGCATTTGTGGCAGACCTACGGGACCCCGTTTCGATTTTGTCTTCGCCAGCACACATCCACCGCCTCCCGTGGCATCGAAACAAGTTAAAAAAAAAACAGTAATTAACCTCAGCGGTGATGCCCTGGGGCCTAGCGGGGGGGGAGCCGGGCCGGTCGGCTAGCGAGTTTGACGGGCCCGATTCCAGTTGGGGGTGGGCGATTCAGTTGCACCGGAAGTACAGCCTTGATTGTAACCTAAATACTTTCCCTGCACCTTGCCGATTCCATATCCTGCTGGAAAATTCAAAATTGTCATTTATGTTGTAAAGAACAACAACTCATCATGCGAATCAGTTCGTAATGTTATCGTTTCCCGGGTAAGGAATGCACTCAGAACAAACAGTACAAAACTCTCTCCCACTCCCTAAGGCACCCTTACTCACAGAAAATATTTTCTGCAGTCAAACAAACACAGAGAGCAGAGCCACCGGATATTCACGAGAAGATAACAAGGAGCATTGCCCCACCTGGCACTCAACCCACTCAGTGACGTCGTAAATCTTCCCATCACAGCACGCATACGCCCGAGGTCGATCAACCTGAGGCACAACAAAATGTGTCGCGGAATGTACGTTAGCCACCAAACAACAAAACAAGTGAATATTTATTCCTCCTGTCATGACACCAAGCCAATATTATCGCACATTGTCACCAGATACTCAGTAAGGTAGGGCTCAGGTGATCTGCTCATGCATTTCTTGCATGTCAACAGGGATGCTCCCTCCTCCTCAACCCACTCGATTCAATCCACTCAATTCAATGCCTAACCCAGGGGGTGGAGCTCAGGTGCATGTCCTTATGATGGTAGCTCTAACGCATCTACGTATTGGTTCACAGTGCCTGGCGTACCCTTCACTGTTTGATTTCTCCACCTTGCAGGCGCCACAACCAGAGACCCCAGAACCGTGACAAACAGCTTATACTTTTTTACCTGTATGCTATAGACAGGAGAGTATGATCGTTGTTTGTTCTAAAAAAAGAGCTGAAGGCTAGCCACAAGTAATTCAGAATTCTCATTGCATCTGAATTCGAACCTGGGCTTCTATTTCAAGAGTTCATAGGTGTACCAACTGGCTACCTTGAAGGTTAGGCAGAAGAGCATGCACATTGTCGTCCTGCAATTCTTGTGTTTGCCAACCATGCGGAAACAAGTCGAACACCATTTACTAGCCAATTACCACTTTATGACTTATGCTCACTTATCCCTCCAGGCAATGAGCAATGTCTCGTTTCATAAATTCATAGTCAATTAAGCTGTTTTTTCATAATGCAACTAGACGACCGTTTAAGCTTCGCTTGCAAGAAAATAGAAACACCAACCAACACTTTTTTTTCTTTTTTGTGGTAGTTAGTTCACCAACTTCACCTGCTATACGTGGTGTTCCATAGGAGCAATGTTATCTTTCTTGTGCCGTGTACAAAGACCCAGACAGTTGTCGTCTGAGAGCTCAGCACTTTTCTGTGCAAATGCTGTCCTGTTGATCCGTTTGCTAAGAATTCCAATCCCCAGTCTGTTGGCCGTGTTTTCTTAATATGTGAATGTGATCAGCCAATGTTGTACAACGTTACCTGTTGCGGCTTTGGCCGGAAAACAATGAAGGCAAAAGGGCGCAAATGGCGGTGGGTAGAGGTTTGTTGGTCGGGTGTGGGTTTGGGTGGGGGTGGGTTGGTTTTTAAGCTCACCTGCGCATTGTTGTTGACACTGCTGATGGAATCCTGCTGCTTTGCAAGCCTTGGATAGATTTTGTAATTTATTTTTATTTATTTTCCTTTTATGTCCTGTCAAACACCTGATCACAGTTGCAAACCGTTCAGTTGTGGTTTGCTGGATTGGTGGTTGTTCAGATTTGAACTCACTTGTTGTGTGTCTGTCACAATTTGTATACCTGTCTGCCGCTAACCAAAAATATTCTTTCTCAGATGTCGGGAGATTAGCAATTCTGTGATTGTGCGGTGGGGAGGGGGCGGGGCGCACAATTAGTTAGATTGGGGTCTGTGTGTGTGTGTGTGTGTGTGTGGCATACTGCGTAGCCACACGGGCCCTGCAGGGCCCGTCCCGGACATTCAGCCTAAAAGCCCAAAACTTAGGGCTTACAGGCCCCGTTCGTTTCAGCCTGGAAGCTGAAAAACGAGGGCCTGCAGGCCCTACCCCGTTTCAGCCTATTTCTDGGTCYTTTCAGACCCAGAGTTTTCAGCCTGAAACGGAGGGCCATTTTCAGGCCCTCATTGTTTCGACCTGCCCCTAAGACTCAGGCACGTAAACAGGGATGCGGAACAGGCCAGAAATAGCCTGTTCCTCACGAGTTCGAGCAGGRGCTGCAGCTGCAGCCCCTGCCTCCCTTCGGCAGGCTCAGGAGGCACACCCGTAGTACATAGGAAGTTCCCATGCACTACACGGGTAGGTAGTGTCAGTAGGCACGGGTAGTCTTCAGGATTTCGGCCGCAGCACTCACGAAGAGCGCTGCAGTAGTCTTCAGCGCTAGTAGTAGTAGAGCGCTAGCTGTAGTCTTCGGCGCTGGGCGCCATAGCTGTAGCTGTAGTCTTCAGCGCTGGGCGCTGGTAGGTGGTAGATCGTAGAGTGGGAGAGAGACTGGCGGAGGCCAGTGTTACTTACCTGTGGCGCCATCGCTCCAGCTCCATCTTCGTGGTACCTGCATCAAGGCGCCAACTTCACAAGTTAGTACTGGACACAGAGAGAGAGAGAGTTCTTCTTCTTCCTCTTCTAAGCCCCACCTTCTCTTCTCACACTCTTGACACCTGACTTCTCAGACTACGACAGAGAGAGACAGAGTTGTGACTTGTGACTTGACGACATTGGATCCAGACTTGACATTTGGGATTCAGACATTTCGACGAGGGACTATTTGGGCTTGTGCCGAAGACTTGGTGTTGACGACATTCCCATCTTCCCCCTCCTCTTCGTCTATCCCCTTCCTCTTCGTCTGTGTATGGTATGGGCTGGC